CAATGGACAAAGAGTTGGGGAAGGGATGGAATTCCAAACTAACCTTCAACCTTCTCACTCGGGTGACTGGAGCGTGGAGGCTAGAAGTTGTATGGGCTCGTACACTGTCTTTCACCGGTACAGTATCTCAGTAACGGGAGGGGTAGACCCTCAACAGGGAGAAGAGCAATGCTGCAAAGTTTGGGGTGATCCTCACATTATCACCTTTGATCAGAGAAGGTATGACTACATGGGCTCCTGCGACTACATCATAGCAGAGGACTTGGGGGGACAGTGGATGGTTTATGGGACCTACAAAGCGTGCGGGGACAAGACCAAGCAGTTGTCCTGTATTGTCAGCATCACTGTCTTCTACCAGAATGAGAAGGTTCAGTTCCTTAGGATGTACAGGATTAACTATAACGGTCAAGAGTTCTCTGTGCCTCTAGGAAGCACCAAGTACATAGGGCAAATGCGAATAGAGAACAAAGCAATGAAGTACTTCATCTACTTAGGGGACACTGGAGTGAGGATCATGTGGGATGGAATCACCACTAGTGAGACCTGTCTTCCCACTCAGTGCCAGTCTGGAGTCCAGGGAATGTGTGGTAATGCCGACTGTAATCCTGATAATGATTTTGCAGGATACCTTGACAGCTCTGCTTTTGGTAACAGGTGGGCTGTAGGACAAAACTGTGATCTGGAACCTGAAGACGGATCCCTGCCTGTTCAAAGAACTAGACCTTGTGACTTTATCCCATACGAAGAGAAACTAGCGTACGAAGCTAGATGTAACCTAATTTTAGATATGGGTGACTTTACTAACTGCATCTACACAGGGAGAATGGACAGGGACTCTATGTTTGCTAACTGCATGTTCGACATGTGTTCTGGACTCACTATCGGGGGAGGGTGTGCTGACCGGGGGGATCAAAGATGTGACGCTGAAACTGAGGCCAGGATCGCTGAGGCTATTCTCAACGGGATGTCCAGAGCTGAAGCTGAGGCTATGTACAAGCCTAGGAACGTGGTAGATCCGGCCTGCATGATGGGATATGGACTTGTCAATGACTGTTCGGGGAGAGGAATTTTCATCGGTGACGGTTGGAGAGAAACAGCTCAGTGTCCTTCTGATGATGACCTTGCTAAGATTGTTGTTTGTCCTTAGATTTAGCTCAAACGGACCTTAAAGACTAGTGTAAATTTATATGTTCATGTAAAAAGTAAATCGACTTCGGATATGATCTGTTGATATTAATTGATCTTTATTGACTTTGTTAAGATATTGATATTTAACTGTTTATTGTAATCGATCCGATATATTGTGTAGCCTTTAATCAGAATAGCTCTCAACCCTAATTTCTGATAGTTATAATAGTCTATGACAAGTGAGACAACGTTTGCAGATGCAAGTTGACATAAATAATGAAAAGGTCCAGTAGAGGTTCATTTATCGAGTCTCAGGCATGCTACAGCCAACCGGTACCATCGGAATTAGTTGGTAGAAAAGTAAAAAATTCAGAAATGCCCTCGGTAGTTGAAATGAGGTCTAAAATAGTATTACATATTTTAGACCTCATGCATGGCTCAGGCTGTCTTATGTGTTTGACGGCATGGAGCTGTCCATTAAAGGGTCATTCACACAATTAGATGCCCAAATTAGATGATTTAAGAAGATACGCCGGTAATATCTCTAAAAAAGTGTGTTTTTATATCAAAACGTGCAGTTTTGCTAGTAGTTAGGTTTATCCAAATTGTCCAACGTTCAAACGACGATTCAAGCCCCCCCCCCCCACCACCCGCACAGCGGGGTCGGCGGGGCCTTTCGTTACGCCACTGCCCCCCCCCCCCCCCTCAGCTGATTACGTAATATGTGGACGACCCCTAAGCTCAGAATCACCCAAATAAAACGACATTAAAATGCTTCCCTGCCAAGGTTTTGAGTGATCTGTCAGAGTAATTTACGTGACAATGGATGGACCGTGAACGTATAATCATTCAACGTCATCTGATCTACGATCGATTTGATCTAAAAAAAAGCTAGCCATTTATATTATATTATCATGCAGGACCCACTAAATAATCACGCGATCGATCGGAGTCGTGCGTGGAATCAATTTAATTTAATTTAAAAGCTCGCCGCCGCGCGCGGATATTATTTACCAATTAATGTTCGCGTGTTCCATTAATATAACAGGTAGACCTTATTTAAGGTACAACCATGTGCTCCATAGCTACAACGATTACACTCCGTTTATTTTATAAAGATACCCTTCAAATAATACAAAATTAAAGACGGCAAGGCTTCAAAATTTGAAAAATTATAGACACCGCAACAGATCTCAAAATAGATCGGATGTAATAAAGCACATTTCACACGCTCGTTTATGCCCAGGGTTGCAGTTTCGTGTTCTCATTATGAGAGTTGGTCAAATTGGTAAGAGAGTTGTCTAAACTGACTTTCTTACAATTATTTATGTTCATTTATATTGATTACTGGAGTTTGTAATTTAAACGTGAATTCTTGCACTTTGAAAATTAAAGACGGGGTTGCGATGAATTAAAGATGGTGAAGCCTTCAAAATGGTAAAAATTGAAGATGCTGAAGCGGGAAGCCTTCACCAAAATTAACCGTCTTTATCAAGAAAACGGAGTGTAATTAACAAAATGCAAAATGAAATGAGTCCACACATTCAAACAACAGACTCCAGACCAAAATGTGAACCTTTCTATGATCAAGAATTCTTTGATTCGTGTTTGAAATTATACCTCACCGTCTCTGTAAATTTAAAATTTTATCCGAATGATCTATGTTCATTTATTCCTTAACTTTTGGTCAAATGGGCATTGGCATCGATTGGGCAAAGCCTTAAACTAAAACTTCATCTGTGATGAAAATAAGCCTCGCCCATCCTGTTCGCTAGATCTATAAAACGTAGTACGAGTTTTCGGGGGCGCCACGACAGCCTCTTATCTCTCCGCATAGTTTCATTTCCGATCCGGCAGCGAAAACCCCAGACCAATATACCTGTTCACAGATCACGTAATACATTATTCAATGAATTTGATATAGTAAGATAAAGAGATAACATATAGATGACACTTATCAGTCATATCTGTATACTGTTAACCAGCCAAGTATTCACTAAATAAGATACTTCACCACGTTTTATATGATAAGAGGCATGTGTAATGAGCCCTGAGAAAAATTTTTCTGTAAACTTTTTAAAAAGTTGGCAGAAGTGAAAGTGCTGCCCCTGACGCCTACAGTCTAATACACTACTACATCAACTTACTGGCGTGGTTTTCATTTTAACGTACTAAAACTAGACCGGCAGTAGAAGTTCCACTGTTACACAAATTAACATAGAGTAAGTATGTCCGTATCACAGGATGAAAGATTAGAAAGATTAGAAAACTTACTACAGTCGTTTTGATATATTGGCCGCGTGCCATAAAACTCTGATTTTTTAGATTTTCACTGTGAATGTAATCTAGGTAGGCAATTCAGAAATGACTGGGAAGTGCCCAGTTCCATGACAAGTTACTCTTCTGTTCGAGAGTGGGGAATTGCTACTTATTTATTGGCTAAAGAGATGCGCGATGGCTGTATTTTTCTCACGAGAAATCTTGTCACGTGACAGTACTCAGTAGTTTACGATTAAGAAATTAAAGACAAAGTGCAACAAGTGTTGGGAAAATTTGTATCGGTACATATTACCAAATTAAGGTATTAACCTATTAATCTTTTTTTTTTTGTACAATCCTGTTCAGTAATAAAAAACTGTCTATTTGAATAAATTCTCTTGTGAATAAATGACCTTCCACACGGTAAAATAGCTTTAACTAGACAAGGATCAAAGAATTCTATAATATGTCCTCTACTTCTTGCTTGTGACAATTTACCCGATTTAATTTCAATCTATTATGCGAAATCTTTGTCGCATAATATGAGCGAGGTACTTAATACCTAATACTGTATTTTCTTTTCCTTGCCAAGATGTATATAAATCTCATTGGTCGAAAAGTCTGAGGACCCGAATAATTTTTCGTTGTTTAAGCTATTTAACTTCATGTCAGTGTCCTGCATTTATTTCTTAAGGCACCGATTTTAGACCGTCTAGACTTGGTTTGCAATATTCGATATTGAATGAATCTACCTTATATACCTTCAATATTATATTGAATGAATATACCTTATTAAATGAAATTTAAACCTCACTTATATTTGTGCTCACTTTATTTGCGCGATTTTCTTATAGAAGATGATTGATCGATTTAATGAGACCTATTAGTATTATCGCAATGTTTTATTTTCAACTTGAATTCAGTTTAAAAAGACATACTTATTCAATTTGTCATGTAATATGATTTGGAGAAGCTCTATTCTCAGGATATAACAGTTATGTTAATAAAATGCAACCTGCCAAAACCAATAGTGCCCGTCGGAATCGTTCATCTCGCATGAGTCCTCCTATGCTATGATTAAATTTAATATCATAATATTCAAATCATGGGAGCTTATGATTTATACAACCTCATACAAATTACTAGGCCATATAATAACCTCTTTTAGTAAATGTGTAACAAATTGTTTGCGAATATGATGGGATGATTTTAAAGTGAGCCCCACCAGATTCCACATCCATAACTCTATAATTACTCTAGTAAGTAATAAATATACTACAACTTTCTTCTCAATAAGCATACTACAAGGCACCATATCTTAACATGTCCCCGTTATACTGTATACAGTACGTACTATTGCTGCATTGCTAAGTATTGTAAGAGAATGTATCTCTGTTTCTTTGCCAGTCATTCAACACGTCAGCTCCAGAGATCGAGTCCTCCCTCCACCCCTCCCTGACGTTACAAAATGAAAGTGTCGAATTGCTTGGTGTTGGTAAGGTTGATAAAAAGATATCTTTAAATAAGTATCGTCGTGGAAGTGCTAAAAATTGTACGTTCAGAAACAAAAGGGCAGAATAAGATGGCTTTTGTATAAAAGGGAAGAAGTGAACGGATACAAGTAGTTTGGTCGAGATACAGATTGAATAACCATGACGTTCTCCTTGATGTGAGTAACAATAAAATATTTTTTATATCTCTTCGTTTAATTTTAAGTACATTTAAACTTTAGAAACTTTAGAAACTTTAGAAACTTAAGAAACTTTAGAAACTTCTCTGTATAAGAATCAAGCTTTTGCTTCATTTCAATCACGTTGCCAAGTAACTGGCAGTTTCACAGTAACTACTAACAACAGTTTTAAACCTTTTTAAAATTACTTTTTTTCAGATTACTGATCTCATTTATGTTCCTGATCGAAGAAATGCAAACACAAGGTAATTCAACACAAACTTATTAGTTGTTAATCATTATACGGTTGTTAATTATTTATACAAAGTTCTGTTTGTCGCAATAATCTTGAGAAAAAATAAGGGCTTAAAGTCAACATACTGCTCCATAAATCGTTATGTTGATCACTGTATTGACTATTGTCTATTGCGGTCATTTGATTATTAGATATATTTCTTAAGTCTTCACGGCTTTCAGTCACAATCGCACCAGTTGCAGTCCTGATCTTATCTTGGTTTTTTCTTGACAAGTGGCAACAAGTCCACCCAAATATACCTGTAGGTAGATTCCTATAGTTAACTGGCACAGTCTATAGATAGATATTAGATATATCAGAGATATACTAGTCTTGATAATATGTAGTTAGCAAGTACGGAGTGTTTGATAAACTAGTCTTGATCTATAGCCAACACTGATATCACACGCGTCACGATCTATACAGATTACATAGGGATCGTGGTCTGCTATAATTATACCACATAATATGCCAAAATCACAATATTTAGGGCAAATGGGACCAATGCCAACTAATATTACATAAAAACCATACTATCACACATATTGCTATCAAGATATGACACAATAATATTAGCTATGTACCAGTCTATAAGTTAGCTTGCAGTAAATGAGAACTTGAATGAGAAGTAGATATTATCTGATCATGGTACAGTGTATACTGACTAGAGATATTATCCTGTGTAAAGTGTAACTACTAACTAGATATTATCATGTGTACTAACTATATTACTTGTGGGTTTTCTCCGTCTCCCTGTCTCGTTTACGTCAATAACAACCCAGGATATTGGTTGCCAGGATCTAGTTACCAGATAATATTATACGCTTTTAAACACGTACAATTAATTATTTTTTCGGGATCTGACTATACTTTCTATTAAGCAAAACGGACTAGAGATGGACTTTAACTGTACTTTAACTGTACTTTAACTGTACACAGATATTAACGGCGTGGTTTCACCACCATTATTATAATATATAAAAATCGCTATTTTTGACGTAATCCGAGAGAAAACAGCCACATCATTCAACTCAAAGTCAAAGTTTACTAATTAAACTATACTATATCTGGGGGTTGAACTGAAATATTGCCAATTGATGACCCTAATATTTATCATAATGGTTAAATTCATAACAGCACAAAAATGTGCTATAATGTGGAAACTTCTGTCATATTAACATTTAACAACGCTGGCCCCTCGCTTCACTCTTACAAGAGCCTTCCCAATATTTTATTTATATTAACTTTGATATTGATTGTAATTCACTGATTATCTAATTTGCCACTATACTGAAAATACAGACTTTGTAGAATTATTACAGCAACTAATTTAGAAAAAAGCGGGATTTCTATTAAAACAACACGTGTTACAGTGCTGTTACTAGACCTTAAAGAGCTTGCGGTGATAAAAATAATAATAATAAATTGAAATTTGATAACACCACTTTTAAGCGGAAAGCCTTCTCGCCGTGCCCTCAGAGGGTAACTCCTGCTAGCTACAATAATATCTTACTGACCCCCTTCTCTAACAGGAGCCTACGAAATATGGCATAAGGCATACCAGGTATGGCAAGAAGATAACGGGGCCTCAGGAAACAGCGAGGAGGTTCTCAACACGGAACAGGGCTATTATAACAACGTGGCGGAAAACGGAAACAGATAGCACTTCTAGTTCAGACATGTGATGAATGATTTAGAGAATATTCGTGACTATTCGTGACTATTCGTGATTACTCGTGAATATTTGTGAAGATTCAACTATTCGTGATTACTCGTGAATATTTATGAATATTCGACTATTCGTGATTACTTCTCGTGAATATCCGTGATGACATGGACGTTTATATACTGACTATTGAATGAAATTTTAGATTTGATTTTTGAAATGAGTTGAATATCTGACGATAAAGTTTGAAGTTTGTTCTCCTCGCATGCAATGATGTTCCAACTTTTTCGTTTCAATAAATATAAAATAAAATAAGAAGCAGGATTGCATTGTTACAGCAAGCCTGTTGAACGATTGAAAATTAAAAACTTCCAGATTGTTATATTCGAACTTCTAATTTATAATTTAAACAAGTCCTTCATACTATGGAGCCAGGGTCTGGACTGGCTAAACCTGGTTAAAGCCTTTCCAATTTCCATCCCATTACCTAAGCCTCAATAAATGTAATAAACATTTGTAGTGTTGTAATTAGTTTTAAAATATAACATTTCTCTTCTTGTTGTTCGGTTACCTTCTGAAATATAAAATCTCACGTGCAATACATGATTAAGTAGCTTGTGCAATTTTCATTCAACATTATACGCGGTGTGTATTATTGGGATGATGTAAACGTAGCAAGAGAACAATACTGTAGACTAAAAACTACTGAGTAGTGAGTAATAAGATCATTGAAATTGTTTAGAAATAGATCATGACCAGATGAATGAGGGTATTTTACCTCCTCTTTCCCCTCCCCTCATACTTTATCTCGAGACACGGTGTTTTACCCTCTCTTTCCCCTCCCCTCCCCCTCATACTTTATCTCGAGACACAGTGTTTTACCCCCTCTTTCCCCTCCCCTCCCCCTCATACTTTATCTCGAGACACGGTATTTTACCCTCTCTTTCCCCTCCCTCCCCCCTCATACTTTATCTCGAGACACGGTGTTTTACCCCCTCTTTCCCCTCCCCTCCCCCTCATACTTTATCTCGAGACACAGTGTTTTATCCTCTCTTTCCCCTCCCCTCCCCCTCATACTTTATCTCGAGACACGGTACTTTATCTCGAGACACGGTGTTTTATCCTTTCTTTCCCCTCCCCCCTCCCCCTCATACTTTATCTCGAGACACGGTGTTTTACCCTCTCTTTCCCCTCCCTCCCCCCTCATACTTTATCTCGAGACACAGTGTTTACCCCCTCTTTCCCCTCCCCTCCCCTCCCCCTCATACTTTATCTCGAGACACGGTATTTTACCCTCTCTTTCCCCTCCCCTCCCCCTCATACTTTATCTCGAGACACGGTGTTTACCCCCTCTTTCCCCTCCCCTCCCCCTCATACTTTATCTCGAGACACGGTATTTTACCCTCTCTTCCCCCTCCCCTCCCCCTCATACTTTATCTCGAGACACGGTATTTTACCCTCTCTTTCCCCTCCCCTCCCCCTCATACTTTATCTCGAGACACGGTGTTTTACACTCTCTTTCCCCTCCCTCCCCCCTCATACTTCATCCCGAGACACAGTGTTTTACCCCCTCTTTCCCCTCCCCTCCCCCTCATACTTTATCTCGAGACACGGTATTTTACCCTCTCTTTCCCCTCCCCTCCCCCTCATACTTTATCTCGAGACACGGTGTTTTACCCTCTCTTTCCCCTCCCCTCCCCTCATACTTTATCTCGAGACACAGTGTTTTATCCTCTCTTTCCCCTCCCCTCCCCCTCATACTTTATCTCGAGACACGGTGTTTTACCCCCTCTTTCCCCTCCCCCCCACATACATTATCTTGAGACACAGTATTTTACCCTCCATGTAACTGACTCCATACTAACCTGAGCCTAGTTTTATGGTCTAAGTTGTACAAAATTAAGACTTTACTTTACAAATTTTATTTTATAAGCTTTATTTTGTGAGTGGAGCTCAGAATAATTTATATAATTATTGATACAAGTTAGCAATTGATGTTAAAACATGGATTTTTGTTCTAGGCTGTATAATTTGTTATGTTAGAAGATTAAGATAGGTAAGTAAACCTAATATCAGTAAGTTTACATTAGCAATTAACACTCGTTAAGTTGTTAATAGTATTGTTATACAACCTCGCACAGGATGTAAAATGTAGACATTTACACATATCTAGGCAAATGGCAACTGTACAGTGTACACTATTCTAAATACTGTAAAAACTAACAACTTTGTATCAAGATTAATTTATTGTTGCATTTAAGATTGATTTAAGTTAACTGTTCCTTTTGTCGGACACTCAAAATGGAGATTTGAAGAAATATTGGTCTTACCATAATAATCTAATTTCTCACAGTCACCGACCTTCAATAAATTTCAGTTAAGCTTAGAGTCTAGCAATAACCATTAACTGTAATATTTTCTTAACGCACCACATCAAAAGAAACAAATAAAATGTGATACAATAACTTAATTAAGCTAATTATGATAATAAGTAAATACCTCTCATAACGATGGAGCTAAGCAAAGCGTGCTCTTACCGTAGTAGATCATATCGGTGAACACGCCGTTAACTTTGCGTGATTATAAAAGAGTGTTATAGGAGTCAATGAGGTGACCACCACCATATAAACTGCAACATAGTTTTTAACTATTTAAACTATTTTCACAACTACAATTAAATACATTTATTGAGCTAGCAGAATGGTTTTCAGAGGGCATTAATGAAATGTACTATGAGCTGGTCCCAAGTCCAGACGCCATTTTATTCTTTGTAATTTTCAATAACCCTGTCTAGTCATTGACTACTGATAGTCTAACTTCGTTACCACAATATTTCACCTGTACCTGGACAGTGATAAGAAAATATCATAAATTACAAAATAAAATCTACTTTAACACACTTGACATAGTTTTATTCTATTTATAAGGAAATCAAGAGCATTATAGATGAAAATAGCATGGTATTTCACGCGAGTTCCTGGTCATTAGAAAGGACCAGAAATAGCATTAGAAGGGACCAGACTTGGCTAGACTATGTTTCAAGGGATGTCTCCCTCAGTTTCCTGGAAACTCCAGGATGTTAAATAAAAAAGGTGATTTTTGTCTTGAAACGATTTACCGCTTCGCAAGGGATGTACTGTGCTGCTTAGAAAACTGTGTTGAAAATTTCAGGCTTTCAGGGCAAAAATACATTAACATACAGTATGTAATATGTATGTTAGGGAATGTTACAAGTATGTTAGGGACTGTTACAAATCTATTCTTAGTACAGTGATTAAGAAAACTCGCCAATGATCCTGAGTTTCTTTAATTTTCAATAAAATATCGAGAATGTTTCTTATACTAGGCCTAGACCTTGGACAAAATCATACTTGTTCTGCTAGTATTAATCTGATTAAGTCGTGTAGTGTTATTGAGATTTGAGTCTCGTTTGATGATTCTTTCAAGAAAATTTCTGATTTTTTCTGTATAGACTTAGTGTTCTTATGAAGGTAAATAGATAAATCACGTATTTTTTATAAGTTCAAAGGGCGCCAGTTCCCCACACAGACACGATAATTTCAAGTATGGCATTAAGGAAATTGTAAGGGTTCGGGTCCCTGGGGAATTCCATCCAAAATTGAATTTTAGGGGCCGCTTACTCTATTTCTGACATGATGAAATTTTCTCTGCAGATAACCGCATTATAACCGCATTATGGTGTGATTGTAAGCGCGGATAATCCCATTCAGAGCTCTGAATTGAGGTGAAGTTGGCCAGAAATTATCTATTATTAGGGCCTAGGCTATTAAATAGATAGTTTTGGTTCAGAAGAATCTAAACTCAAGGCTGAAGACGTGGAGGCGTGTTAAATTTATTGCTAGCGTTATCATCGGATCATTTAAACTCGAAACCTGAGATCTTTGTCTGTGGTTACAACAGACAATGTCATCAGTCAACCTGGTTAGGTTAATAGGGACCCACTCAAATTAATATTGTCGGCCCTTACATCGTCCAACCTGGCATAGGAGTGGAGACAGATTTTGTTAGCACAGAACGGAAAATTATAGTATATTTATTTCGCTTTTTTATTTATAGTTATTAATATTAACTTTGAGATTAATAATGATTGTAATTCACGGATTATCTAATTTGCAACACTAGGCTGAAAATACAGAATTTTGCATAATCATTGCAGAATCATTGCAGAATCATTGCAGAATCATTGCAGAATCATTGCAGAATCATTGCAGAATCATTACAAGTTACAACAACTAATTTTGTTAAGGCGGGAATGTTATTACAATAAAAACTCTCTATGACCGTCAGGATTCGCGGTATGCGTAAAATATCATTTTGAAAATATCTAAGTACAAAATATGACAAGACTTTGAAAAACAAGTAGACATGATAACAAGGCGATATGTTGCCCATTACAATTTTTAACATATCCTGAGTAGCGAGGCCTGATCTTCTGGCAGCGTTTGATGTGAAGGTAAAATGGAGATATCCATAGTCTGTAGCTCTAGACACCTTGTTGCAAGTGTGACAGTAGGGTGTAAGTGGTATGTGACAATGGTACTGTTACATTCTATAAGTATATTAGTGACCCGTTATAGGGTGTTTGTGTTATCAGTATCTGAGTATCTGCAGTATGAGGTTAATGACAGACCGGAAAATAAAGTTTCCGTTTTAATAAAACAAACACAAACTGTGACTTAAGACTTGCAGAATGCAGATCTTTTGTGTTATCATTATCAAGACTAACGTCATGTTGTACGGACAAGTAACAGGTATTTCCTGGCCATGGTATGATGATAACCGACATTGTTCGTTTAACGTACAACACAAGCTAGTGTAATATTAGGATTTGGTGTCTGTCTAGCTATCAAGTATCAGCTGATCAGCTTATAGCTACACTAATTTATCTCATACGAATATAAGAATAACTACAGGTATCTTGCACTAGTATCTCAAGAAATTATTTAAATGTTCGCCAGAAAATCGAAATATCTCTTAAAGAGGCCTAAATAGAGATAATAAGCTTTTTAGAACTGCTTCCTTTCCCTTCAGTATCCCACAGTCTCTCGAGTTTCGTAACTGCCAGAGAACTCTCTTAAACAATTACTAGACTCGGTGATTATAAATCAAGAGGCTTGCATATAATGAACATATTGACACGGGTGCAGAGTTGAGTCTGTACGGAACCTAGTAGTTTCAGATCCTTGTTTAACTTGCCGTACAGCAAGGTCATCCACTACTTTAGCCCGGCGAGGCACATAACTCCCTCTACAACTCCATGACAAATGTTTCATATATACTAGCCGAGTTCACAAGAATATATCCTTGTGTTTTAAGAAGAGCTCGTTAGAACTGCTTCCTTTCCCTTCAGTATCCCACAGTCTCTCGAGTTTCGTAACTGCCAGAGAACTCTCTTAAACAATTACTAGACTCGGTGATTATAAATCAAGAGGCTTGCATATAATGAACATATTGACACGGGTGCAGAGTTGAGTCTGTACGGAACCTAGTAGTTTCAGATCCTTGTTTAACTTGCCGTACAGCAAGGTCATCCACTACAATGGCTATAGCATAATATATATCTACTATTGCCTTGGTTATGTAAGCTACAATGTTAAACTTACCTATACGAGTGGCTCACACTCTGTTGATATCTCTTTAGGTAGTTTTCAGGTTTCTCAACCTTTCCTAGTTGAGTGTGTCCCACAACCAAGCACACTGCCCTGAAGTCCGGCGTTACGTATTATAATGATCCTGGACCTAAGTGGCAAGCTGCTCTACATCAACAAACAAAAAAACAACCTATACGAACATTTCACATCTCACATTGTACTCCCCTCTACCTAACCTCTTTATTTTAACTATTCTACTTATCCACCGACAGAAAATTATTTTATAAAGTAGTGTGCGGACTGCGGTTGTTACCCATCTATTAAATTATTTGTAATGTTTGAATGATTCCTGCGACAGAAACCAAAAGCCCTGTGATAACTGATATGCTAACTAATATTTTAATTATATATAAATGTCTTAAGCAGGTAAAAGCCAGTCCAAACCCTGGTTTCATAACATGAAGGCTCCGTTCATGAATAACATATCTCTACGAAGTTCGAGGCCTGGACATCAATTATACCATTCTAAGGAATGTCATATCTTCTAATATTTGTATCTGGATACGTCAGCCTTTGTAACACCTCTGTAACACCTTTGTAACACCTTTGTAACACCTCTGGGCATTCAATTATTTATGCAAACTAATTGAAACACTTGATATTCAAAATTATATTGTGAACCTAATTATAATAATAATCATAATAATATGACAGTATTATAAACAGACTGTTTATAATACTATTTTATTATAATACGAACATGCATAATGAAAATGTATATAACAACATGCTTTCACAAATCTGTCAATGAAATAGTAAGAAAATAAGCATTGTTGCATTGTTGCAATACTTAACATTCTAATCACTAATGGTTACTTTATCTCCAGTGAACATACTCTAGGGCCTAGGCGGATCTGTAAGTTGCAGAATTGAACTATCTAGATCATCCAATTGATTAAACATCGATTAGGCCTCGAGTCATATGCAGTAGATCTTAAACATAATGATAATAATCATATCTAAACAATCATTTCAAAAACATCGAAAACTGCCAAAGTTTTCATATCAAAATCTTTTTTTGTCTCAAAATTATTGTACCTAAAAAGTATCTGAAAATGACGTAACAACTGTTTATACCACACATGTGTCATAACATTTAAGTCATGGAAAAACGAAAACAAACGGATATATATTGACAAAATGCTATTTATAGCAAAGTATTGACCAAAAATCCTTAACAATCTGTTTAAATGTTTTCAAACAACATTCCATCACCCATGTATTCAACAAATCGGTTGTAAAAATAAAAAATCTATCTGAACTTTATGTGATAATTATACATATAATGGCAAAATTTAAAACAAGGTATTTATTTAGCAATGTTTCATTAATGTAAATTCATGTTTTAAGTCTGAATGTATATCCCTTCTACATAATAGCATACATAATATGTATGATATTATCATACTCATTACTCATACGATATTACCATACTCATACATTTACACAATGTAAAGCGAGTGAAGCCTCCTTATTGAGAGTAAAACGTTTTACGAATATGACTACTCTAGTAATTAATTTACCTTTGTTCAAACTCTTGTTTCGTGAAGAATTTTAAAATTTAGAGAAAATATTAATGTTTAATCTCTTCATATGGAATTGATCTAATAAAAAGTACACAGAGTCTCTTCAATACTGAGGAGTACTTAACAGCCAGCTTAGGAGAGTGCAGGAGGCTGCTCACTGGCGCTCTGCTCTTTTTCTTCTTCTTCAAATCCTATCTTCAGGGGTGTTTCTTTTATCTTCTCTTCCTGTTCTCTCTGAAAATAATAGTAGTCAGATTTTTTTTCTCACTCTTTTAATATGCAGTCAGATAATTTGAAGGTCTTACTTTCTTACGTTTGCTAATTTCCAGAGTCACAATAGTGACTTTAACATCTACTCGTAGCAGTGGTACTAGTATATCAACAGATTGTCCTGCAAGTTTTTCGGACCATTTTCATTTGTAATCAGAGACTTCACTATTGTACCTGACTTTTTAGGAGACTATAACAACATTCAAGATGTCTATTTTCTAAAAAGTAGACTGCTAAAATATGATTCCGATTAACATTATTTGTAATTCATTTTGGAATATTCACATAAGAGCGGCGTGTTATATTCTCATCCGCCACAAAACCACACCGCACACGGTACAATGGATTCTTCTAGAACGACTTTTAAGTTTAATTTGATATAAGTCTTTATCATCATCCGGTAAATCCTGTCCTTTAGTCCTTCAGTCTGATCAGATAACATAAAAATGTTTCAATATTAGATCATTCGAGAGACAGAGACTTAACAAAAGTTTACTGTTCTTTTACAAAACAATTTTGTAAATTACAGCTTCAAAAAATGTTCAAATGTTTAATTAACACGTCATGTCCGCACACATTTGATAAACTCAAATAAAAAGAAGCTGAATTTTGACTATTGTTATTTGTTAAACAGTATAAAGGCTCTAGTTTATTGAGTATCCTGCTGTTGTGTTACTATACTTTCATTAAACAGCAACAATGTGGTTGAACTATTGAAGTATTGACGTAACGACAAGAACGAGACTCCTGCTAGAAAATTAATCTCTTAGCATAAGCATTATCATGATTATTGATTATACAGCATGTTAGGTTGCTTTGAAAGTCTAACATTTTGCGCCCATCACAGAGTTAAATCTCTGCAGCTTTTACTAGCTGAACTTCTATAGAACAAGAAAGAAGCACGTGATGTCCAGGACTAACACCCCTACACTCTACAGGCTACAGGCTACAGCTAGTATTATAGTGCCTCGGCACAGAGTGGCTTAGGGTTACTGAAAAGGAGATATGCACCTCAGGCCATCCCAACTTGCGGGAGAGACATGCCCTTGTTGTGTGTGTCCCCCAGCTAGTGTCATCTCTTAACAGTATCCTGCCCTCTGATTGGCTTGTTGTGTGTCCCCCAGCTAGTGTCATCTCTTAACAGTATCCTGCCCTCTGATTGGCTTGTTGTGTGTCCCCCAGCTAGTGTCATCTCTTAACAGTATCCTGCCCTCTGATTGGCTTGTTGTGTGTCCCCCAGCTAGTGTCATCTCTTAACAGTATCCCGCCCTCTGATTGGCTTGTTGTGTGTCCCCCAGCTAGTGTCATCTCTTAACAGTATCCTGCCCTCTGATTGGCTTGTTGTGTGTCCCCCAGCTAGTGTCATCTCTTAACAGTATCCCGCCCTCTGATTGGCTTGTTGTGTGTCCCCCAGCTAGTGTCATCTCTTAACAGTATCCTGCCCTCTGATTGGCTTGTTGTGTGTCCCCCAGCTAGTGTCATCTCTTAACAGTATCCTGCCCTCTGATTGTGTGTGTCCCCCAGCTAGTGTCATCTCTTAACAGTATCCTGCCCTCTGATTGGCTTAGAACTATAAAGTGACCAGCAGCAAGCCCTCTGATACGTCGTAAGGTACAATTTACTTGTGTACATATTAGTGTATTGTGTACTAATGTATGCTAAATTATACCTGAATTTTAACTGGATCATATTCTGATTATCTGTGATATTATGATCATGCGTACTAAATTATCTCAATCGAGGAAACACTAGAACACTCATGTCCAAAATAACCTTCTTATTTTAACGAATATCATTAATTTAGCTACGTGTGTAGTACTGTGTAACCAATCCATTGCATTTTCAGTGTTTACTTAGTGCAGGTGCAGATTTGCTAATTTCTACTAAAGATAACACTATTAATTGCACTGACTATATCGGTTGTCACAACAAAGATTACATTTTACTATGGAACTGTGCCAACAACTGAGGATCACATGCCACTTATCTATTACTCATCTGCAATGTAATGGTCACGTGACAATTGTTTCTACCCACGTGGTCTACCCACGTGGTCAACCCACGTGGTACACGTGTACCACACTTTCCGTTTACCATGTTTTATGACGCAAATCTTTACGATGAAAGTGCTAATTAGCTTGTTTATTCAAAACTCATTAATTTGAAGGATTTGCAACAAAGATGTTTTAACACTGATTATGATGATGTTGAAATTTACATAAAACAGCACTCATCTGTCTCCCTTATTCTTTCAATACTCGATGAAAATATCTAAGAAAAAGAAATTTTCAGTGTTGCTGACAATTCAAGAGCCTGAATATGGAGGGAAGTAGATAAGAAGGGATGTAGAAGTAGTAGTACGAAAGGATGGCGTAGATTCTAGAATATAAGCTTACAAATCTGTTGATGAGTAGTCCACAGAACTACGTGACTATACACTTAATCCTCTTGGAGACTAGGGCGTACTGTAAGTCCGCAGAATTCTATTATAACTTAACAATTACAAGATGATATCAGATAGCGTACGTAGTGGTGATGGTTACACCGTTATACAGTGCACTGTGTCTAAACTTTATTTATCGACCAAGTAACAAGCATACCGATCAGTGGCTGATTGGTTTGACACGTATTAGCCGATTAACTAGAATTCCAGAAAATAAGGCCCCTTGATTATTATATCTGGTACATACTATCTGACTTAACCCTTCATTGTGGGACCCCGAATATCAGGGGGCCTTGTGGTCGACCACTGGTTTGAAATGAAGGAAGATGGCAATTTTTAATTGGGTCAGAAGTTTAGAAATAGCTTGCGCACAGAAATTCACTCATTTTCTCTATACCTACGTAAAAAAAGGTACTCTGTGTTTGCTTCAGACACCTCTAACTCAACGATGGAATCATTAAATTTGTCTGAAGAATTAAAACCTTCAAAAATTCAGAAATTACAGTGCCACTGCTGGAAAACAAGAATTTCCGGCTCACCAGAAAACAAGTTTTAAATTTGGGTGTTCAGAAAAAGTTCAGGTTAAAACTAAGTGGCCTGCTAAAGTGGCTCTAGTCTGTGGTTTACATTCAACGTGCATATATAATCCTACTATTTTAATTAGTGTCTTAACGCCTGGTGACCAACCGGTTCAGATCACCTCTGTCTCTTTTTTTCTAGAACATACAGCTCGAAAAAAGCCTAGACATATCATAATGTGTATTGTGTACACTGTAATAGTCATACTATACAGTAGCTAAACTCTTTGATTAATTGGAAAACAATGTGCTGGTGCGGGAGTATATTTACAGGGACTAGGGTGAGTGCTGAGTACTGCTTCAATCTCATTCTTTAGTTCAGTTTTATAACATTTTAACACTTTTAAAACATTTCAAGATTTAGCCGCTTTAAATCTGAATTTTCTAAGATTTTGATTTCATAAATTAATTTTTAACAAAGTTCAGCTATGATTATGTTAATAAATCCATGGTCAACCCATAAAATCTGTCGACTTTTCATATTAATTCCTTATTTTATTATTTTATTACGCATCCTGATTAATAAACAGCCGGAAAGACTAGTTTTAAAGTCTGAGGGGACACCAGCACACAACAGAGGAGCTCTTGCCTGCTTCTATATATCACCAGTGTTTAGTGTATTTAATATCATTATATTGTCTACTCATAACTTAATGTTTGGTGACGTCATCAAGCTGTAATGTGTGTAAGGATCAAACACGGGCTGCACTTTTATAATTATTATAACATATGATATGGGTGATATAACATTATTATAACATATGATATGGCATGGGTGGAACACGGCCCTTAAACGGTCCTCAACCGGCCCTCAACTCATGACAGTTGTAACAGTCATGAGTTGTGATTAGTGGAAATTGGTGGGTCTACTGGATTATTCTGGTGTTTTTTAGTGTTCCGTAAAGCTAGTTGTGAGTCTCTCAAACGACTGAGAATTTTACGGGAACATATTGGGGTAATCACTGAGGTAATCATTTAAATATTACGCTAGTGTAATTTAAAGACTAAAGCTATGTGTAAAACTGATTAGTATATTACCATGTTATAACTTATTACGTTAAAAATTGGCGCCAACAAAATATTAGGTAATATGTGAACGACCCCTTGATAGAATTGTAAGGAATGTTAGTATTTGAGTTACCCTAATGTAATAGTCACGTGATAACTAACCATCAAGTTTGCGAGTATTCTGACAAGGCTTTCTAGTCCTCTCAGAAATCCATCGTCAGGACCATCGTACTTCACGCCATCACCAGAGCGTGTCTGGAACTCCGCAAAATCTATTATTCTGATGTCAGTCTGAAATTAGTTAATTTACCAATAATTGGTTATTATTTTTGAATTATTCGATAAGTAACTTAACTTCACTTCTGTTTTTTAACACGTCACACTGAAACTCGCAATACACGGAATTATCGGACATCTTCATCAGAAATATCACATCATACTGAACTATAAACCACTCATGTACAGACACTACATAATATGTACTTTCCAGCAGCCATTTTTCTAATTGCTTATAACCATTGCTGCCATTAAATAGAGTTAGGACCACATAATCTAATACAAGATAAATTAAAATAACAGGTGGCCCTGGTCACGGCAATTCATTAGTAAAACGAACTGGCTCAAATTCCACGTACACTACAAAATATTGTAATGTAGCTACTACTGTTATACTGCGGATACGCAATATTAAAACATTTATTTTTACGTGTTTGTGAAAGTGTACCAGGTGACTGTGACAGGTAATTTAGCCAATTTGGATGGAAACTTTCTCGAGAGTAAGTGAACAGCAATAGCAGCAAATCTGGGGAAACTTGGTGGACATTGACTTTTTTCACACAATTTGAGTATGTTGATTTCAACATTATGTTGCAGCTCATTGTGGTTAATCTCAATGTTGGAGTGATGTTTTTCTGGTGCACAAAACACTGCAGTACGGTTATGTTGAATAATTGTGGTTAATGGGTCATCTATGTGGCCACTATGGTGGTTAAAATACCAGTTTTAGGGTTAACCACCATTTTGAGATATACTATTATGAACTGAGTAGTCATTATATTGAGATCATATCATGGTGCAACTATCACAAAAGTTTTCAAACCTCATGGGGGGCATTTTGTGGTCCTAATGGTGGTTAAATTGAAGATGAACGGTGAGCTATAAATATTGCTCTGATTATAGATGTATAGTGGTGGTATAGTGGTGGTTGTTCATTTGTGCATGGATGATAATTTTTTATCACAAATGTGCAATTTAATAGTATGGTTGATTTGAGGTGGTTAATATTCGTAAAAAGTGCTAAAAAGATGGTTAAAATGTCAAAATTTGTTGTTAACCACCAATCAAAACATTATTAATGATTTTAGTCAACATTTCATGGTCAACAAAGGACATTTGAAGGGTCTTGATAAAAGTTATCAAGAAATGTTGTCATAAAAGTGGTTAAAAGGGCTATATTACTTGCTAGGCTGTTGAACAAGGCATCTATTAAAGTGAAAATTAACCACAATATGAACTTCAGATAATGGTTTGCTATCCAAATGAGTGTATATTTGTTTGCAAATGCATAATTGACCCCAATTTCATGCATTCCGATCAATGTGCAGCTAAGGTGGTTAAAATGTCTCGAAAATACCCTATATTTGCACTAATTAACCATTTTTAGAGCACATATTAGCTTTGTAAAGCTATAGCTGGCCATGCTACATTATCTAGATATAACTACCTGCTCATTTATATGACCAGAAACATTGCTGAGTCCTATGTTGCGTCCATCATGGTTAATAAAGGTCTAAAATTGACCAAAATCAGTGTTTTTGGTCGTTTTAACCGCCATACGGCCACACATTTTGTTGCATTATCTTTAAAATCACTTATTATCCTTCAGCTATCTCTCATAATCAAATATCAAAACAAAATAAGGCACCAAAAGGTCAGATTGTGCTGAATAATGGTTAATTTGTGATGGCTTCTGTTGACCGAAGGTCCCAAATCAACATGTTTTAACCACATTATGGCCACATCTAAGGTTTTATGGTATTGGGACCATAGCCAAAAGTTTTGGGCACCTGGATGGTGTACTCTGCTTTTGGAATTATGGTGATATCTCAATGCTGTGCCATTCCAGGTGGTTAAGTACGCGCGCGCGCACGCACGCATACACTTTTGGGTTTTTTTAATATACCACAGTTGGTGGTTAACCGTTTTACATTACACCTTCACTAAAAGTATTGGGCACTCTAGTGGTGACATAATATATAAAGAAATTAAGCATAAACTAAATATGTTGGCCTACAGATGGTTAAGTACGCGCGCGCGCGCGCACGCATACACTGTAACATAAACACATATAAACCACTCCACAGACCACATTTATTAACCTTTTTAATTTCTTTCTTCAACTATGTGTCAATGAACCGTTTCTGTTCAATAATGACCATCAATTTTAACTGTAACACTCATATCTTCAGTGTAGTAAGGGTTTGAGTGTTAGAAGTACAAAAAAATGTCCACTAACAAATCAGTCATATTTCGACTACTTAACCACCTAACTCAGCACCAAAATGTTCTGGGATTTATTTCGTTGCACTATCATGAAGCTATGACTTTTTTGGACCTATGTAAATATTCAGATTACTAGAATTCATAATTTGTGATTTTTAAGGGGTGGTCAAATGCTTCAAAGTGGTGTATTTCAAAGTTTCCCCAGATTTGCTGCTATTGCTGTGAAGGTAGATCTTTTATTGAATTACCTTAACGTTAGTAAGGTTTCCAGTTTTGTCGGATTCGTATACCAGGAGCAAGGAGCAGCAATACAACCGCACACTGTCGCACAATCTGATCAGCTCTATGATGTTGGTTAGCTTATGAAGGATCCTATCTATTGCGGCTGTGTGCATCTCCTTCCCGTCAAAGAAGAACATCCTGGAATTTGATTATGTTAAAATTGCGACAAAAATATAGGAAACAATGGAGATTGTACATTTATTAGGAACACATCGGGATCGAAGCTAAGAAAGTTTTGAAAAGTAGAGAGACAACTATAGAATAGGGCATCTTGGGACTATATTGTTCGGAGTTGCTATCTTATAGATCTATATGTCACGTGTCGAAGTAAACTAACAAACCTACCCACTAATCAGTATCAACAAGTCTACCATTGAAACAATGTTTCGACCTACCTAAACGCATCCAGGATGGAATCTGAGGTGAGTTCTCTTCCTTCCATCTTGTTCATGTGGTGGTGGCCACAGCTTTCAGAGGAGTTGAAACTCTGAATAAATAACATGATTGAGTTCCCGGGTATACACTAGACAGTATGGTGGGACTTGCTAAGATCTATTAGAAAGCGCCGACTGGTTTATACTATTTAAGATTTGAGAGATTAAACAGTTGATCACGTGACAAAACACAATGAAACTATCAATCTAGAATATAAAACTCACCCGAATACCAGCCACCCTTACACCAAGTTCATTACTGGTGGTAGCTAAACTGCGGTTCTTCTTGCGCGCTATCTTTTCCGGTGACATTGTGTCACTAAACTGACGTGTTCCCATCTTCAAATCCATTATACTGGGCTTCTTGAATCGTGAGGTTACATCTTCCAATACTATGTAACACCCTGCAGATTATTGTTTAATTGTGTGACGCTCTTGAGAGCAGCCAATGTAGACGGCTATGAAAAGCATTGGTGGGGAGGAGGTATATTTTGATATAGTGGGGAGGAGATATATTTTGATATGGTGGGGAGGAAGTATATTTTGATATCTAAAAGCCAGTGTGATAGAGTTGTAACCAATCGTGAAGTAAGCTGAAATTTACCTTTGCGTTTGAGTCTGAGTTTGTCCCCCAAGGTGGCTGGCTTCCCATTTTTAATCTCAACAACTCCTCTATAGCAGGGTATGTAGTCAAGCAAGTTGCACGGGAGTGATTTGACAGCAGTCTCATAGAAATGGTGCTCAGTCTTGTTCAGTGGTTTTCCTATTGATTTGTCCTGTGGAAATGATAATTACTTTATGATAGAATATCACTTTTATATCACATCAAAATGAATCAAGGTACTAAATTGACTAATATAAACAAGTTGAAATTGTAGGAACTAACCTCTCCTAAATTTAATGACACTATTTCGGCTCTTCCTCCAACTTGATAAGAGAAGTTTGTAACAGCATGTTCCTCAAATCGGAATTGGGAGGAATATTGTACAGCGCTTGTCTCTACTAACGTTGCATTATCCATTCAGGAGCAATCCATTGCTGGAGCGATCCAGCCAGCCATCGGCTGCTTGAGTATCAAAGTGTTACTTTGAAATTTTATAAAATATAACACCTAATAAAAACGTAAAGACTGAAAATGAACAATATTACAATATATACATACAATGTATACGTTATACACACAAAAATACATCGAACCATAGCAAACATAATCAACTGTTTCTGAATTTATGAAGTAATATTTCGAGATTTACTGGCTTTAAGAGATTTCTGTTGTACCTCTGTAAATCTCATGAGAGTATGATCGATAAAAATTTCTTTATTCACAATAGAAAAATTAGTTATTAGTGGCCCTCATTAATGCTCTTGGGCAACTTAAAGTTTAGCTTCACAAAAGCAGTAATTTTTTGACAGTCCATTTCTGTTTGCTTTCTTAAAAGATATAATATTTGATGCAACCTAACGATCCAGTAATACTAATCCCAAGAAGCAAATTCACAAACAAGGTACTAATAATTTGATAACATAGTGCATTAACTGAGTAGTGAATATCAATAATGAGGCGGATTATCTACAATCTAGTGCACTACGTGGTAACTCCTTGTGTAAAATCTGGTCAAGTTTTGTAGTAGCTGTAATTTTATATCCTTCTATCAGTTACGTCACAAGGACTGCTCCTTATTCTTTAGAAGGTCAATTTATGGTAACATGGTAAAATATTGCTCCCTGAAGCTGACCAGCCAATCAAATGTTGCCAGCTGAACCAGGAGATCATTCTCAGGAACTTAAAATTTTTAATATCCTAATAATTCTCATGAGATGGAACTACTCAACAAAAAATTTAGTCTATTTTGTAAGTTTTTTTTAATCAGGTCTTGATCATAATATGATACGTGTCGCTATTGTAATATAAAATGTACTAAGGAAAGTAAGGAATACCAGTCTGTGAGAAGCAGAACTGTTGTGATTTTTTGAGATCAGAGTAAAATAATTGGACTTCATTTGAAAACCTCTCATACCCCAATTGCTTATCAAGCAGGACAAAAACGTTTCAAGATGTAAACGAAGAGAACGACAAGGAGAAGAAGAATGAGTACTTGGAGAGAGTGTTAAATGGGGAGAATCGTTAAATGTGGAGTTCACCCCCGCTGTATTTCTCACATCTGGAGGCATGTCCAAAGAATGTAAGCGGTTCGTAAACAGACTAGCGGACCTCATAGCAAGATGAGGTCCGATGAGAAAAAGAAAGAAAGATATAATAATAATTTAAACTTATAGATTATAGTGGCACAACAACTTGAATTGCACAGGTGTGCCACGAAAACAAGTCAGGATACAAGAAAACCTGAAAAGCAATCAACATTTAGGTTCCAAACCATAGAAAATATAGCGACATGGTAAGGCATGTGAGGACAACAATAAGATTTGGCATTCGCAATGTTAAGACCAATGCTTATTGCTCTACGAGGTTACAGAGGCAAGGAAACTGACAACAAATATGAAACCCCTTTATGGCAAAAAACGATTTATAAATATTTATACCACTGGGAAGTATGAATAGGGTTATCTTTTGGGGATGCTTTTTAAATTTATTTGAAATTTTTAAAATAAAGTTGTAGTTAATAATTTATTAATTTTTGTGCATAGTGGTATGATATTTATATTTTTCCATATAGTGATTTGATACTTTGTAGACATGTGTGATGATGTTATGTCATAATTTTTACTTTACTTTACTTTATCAAAAAGGTCTCGATCTTACAAGATCATCCTTGCCCCTATGATATAATGGAGTAGACAGGGGAGCCGCGGCGGGTCATACAATGTATATGACAAGTAATGACAAGTAATATCCGTCGAGTCTTTAGTTAATTACATCAGGTAATTAACTTTTAACGTGTATATCAAATCACTTTTAACCCTGCCCAGCCTAGCCGTGTATATTATGTTGCAAAAGTCCAATCCATGAGTAAGTAAGTGAGAGTGTGCAGTGATTTGACATTTTTCCGCATATAGAAAGATTTAATTTGCGCATAATTGGTAATATTAGTGATACATACATACAAAATCAAGATCGTATAAATTTATTTAAATGTTGAAAGTAGTGCACGCCGCGCAAGGTTCAGGCCTTGATTCACGATGTCAATCCTACGCTCAGGCCCAGTTTAGTGGTGTGAGAAGATGTGTATTGCGTTAATGCGTGATACTCGTAAAATATTTGTTTCAAATACCGACGAGTCCAACTCGGCGCGCGTCCTGGTAGGTTATAAACTTACAAATCTTATGTCTAACTTGATACACGCTGCAACCCCTTTTGCGATCGCGCGTGGCGGCCAGCTAGCCGGCGTGCACGTGATCAGAAAGGTATACAACTTGTAGCGCGATGCGTTACTGTGCCGCGCCGCGCACTCAATGAGGCTTCTCACAGCTGGCTAGATCGGCGAAATGCGCTATTGTGCCTTGACCATTGTTAATGGTCTGGCCCGGCGCGCGCTACTTCGTAGCACTTGCCGTCGGGCCATAACATTTCGAGAAGAAAGCGGCGCGCGCTACTTCGAAGAAATTCAGACGAGTAACATCCGTCAATATTGTGCCGCGCCGAGCTGCCATGAATTGACATCGTCAATTAAGTATACAACGTGTAGCAAGTTACGTCGCTGTAATTTATCCTCGCTTGTCTGCTTGCTTCGTAACAAAGTCGTAGCGGAGCTACGACATACGAACTAAAACAAATTGGTGTACTCGCATCGTCAATTAATTTTAACATATAATTTTATTCGACCATATCACATTTTGATTTGATTGATGATGTCAACCCCGTAGTTCATGACGGATGTTAGTATGTTACTCGTCTAAATTTCTTCTCGAAATATTATATTATTCGCAAGTGCTACGGGCCAGATTACCATTACCAATGTGCAATGGTCAACCCCGTAGCTCTTCAAATAATGCGCATCAAATGATATGTTAGTGGTTAGATAATAGATCAGCGCAATGCACCACTAGTGACTAGGCCAATTTTGGCATACGTTGTATGACCCGCCGCGCACGAATGCGCGGCTCCCCTGTATCGTAAGAACAGGGAAACGTCCGTGGGGGTCACGACGTGATACAAGGCCAATTAAGCTGAACTGTGCTGTTAAGGATTGCGACTGCAGCGACATCGTCAATCCATATACTATCAGTCCTAGTCTAGTGTACTACTACTAGTCAATATATTATGCTATTGCATCAAGTGTCCTATGATTTGCCATTTTAATGTCGTTGTTACGTCGGGCCGGTAATTCGATCAGTTCAGGATCAATTTACAAGAAATCAGCGTTGACCGTGTGCATGCAGTGTATGGATTTAATTATCAGGCGTGCCTGTCTAGGCTAGTCTATGCGCGGTGATTTTTCCGAGATTCTGCATTATTCACTTATTGTACGTGAGACTGAGATGAGAGGAGCGAGCAATAAAATAAATAAGAGTAAGACTAGATCAGTAAAGATAGCAAGGTGGGTAATATATGAACAGATTGAAGCTATACAGCTAGAAAGTGTGCACTGTGCAGCGTGGGGCAAGGTTTTGGCAGATGCTTAGATTGTAAATTAATTAGGTTAAAGAACAAAAAATTGGTCCGCCGGGTCGCACTTCACTAAATATCAGATCAGGGTCTTGATTTAATAGTCCGTCCGTCAGAGGCCAGAGCCTCTTAGGACTTAGATACAGTTTTAAAGTTAGTCACGTGATGCATGGGGGGGGGGGGGCCAATGGCATAAAATGGCATAAAATGGAGACTTTTTCTATGGAGAAAATGGAAAAACCCATGAGTAATTCTCCATTTTCTCCATTTTATGCCATGAATTTTGTCTTCGAAATTTCATCTTTAACACCATTTAACACCTAAATTGGACATCCTAACATGTTTATTTACGCTTACTAGGGGCGTAACAAGCTTATGAAAGCTCATAGTAGGCTACTAGATGCTTATACTAGGTTAGTAGAGGCACACTTCAGGCAAACTCATAATTACTCAAGCCTAGTGTAAAGTTATTTCTACAGGCTACAGCAGGAGTGAGTAATAGGGGAGAGTAATAGGCACTGAGAAGTGAGACCTACATCCTCGACAGTCGAAACAAGCTCGCACTGCAAAGGGGAGGCCTGCCTTCCGAGATCGCATTACCAGTGGAAAGCCTCGAGTCCAAATGTGTGTATCGAGGGGTAGGTGCAGACTTCGATAAACCGAAAAACCAAAAAAATATTTTCGGCTTATAATGAAAAGGGTAGCATGAAACGTAGAGAAAAGTGGTTTTTAGAAAAACTTTGAAAAATTTTGACTTAGAAAATTTTCGGCCCGAGTCATTCTCGATGCGTACCTCTCGTATCGAGAGCTCCCGATTCCGAGCTCGTGTTGCAAAGGGGAGGCCTGCCTTCCGAGATCGCATTACCAGGGGGAAGCCTCGAGTCCAAAATTGTGTACCGAGGGGTAATTTTCTAAGTCAAAATTTTTCAAATTTTTCTGAAAACCGCTTTTCTCCACGTTTCATGCTACTCTGTTCATTATTTGCCGAAAATATTTTTTCGGTTTTTCGAAGTCCACACCTTCCACAATTTTGGACTCGAAGTAATGCGATCTCGGAAGGCAGGCCTCCCCTTTGCAATACGAGCTCGGAATCGGGAGCTCTCGATACGGGAGGTACGTATCGAAAATGACTCGGACTGAACATTTTCTAAGTCAACATTTTTCAAAGTTTTTCTGAAAACCACTTTTCTCCATGTTTCATGATACTCTGTTCATTATTGGCCGAAAATATCTTTTTTTTTAATAATTTTTCTCGAAATTCTAAATTTTTCAGGTTTTCAATGGCATAAAATGGCATAAAATGGCATAAAATGGAGACTATTTCTATGGAGAAAATGGAAAAACCTATGAGTAATTCTCCATTTTCTCCATTTATGCCATTGGCCCCCCCCCCCCCCCGATGCATGTTCAGTAATTTAATTTTATCATCAATCTGAATCATCATCCGATAAATGATTTAAGTTATAATACGAGATACCGTGATAATTATTTAATTAATATAATCTAACAGTTACAGCCCAGCTGCAGCTAGAGCACGCCATATTATATTGTTATTATATACACAGCTGGAATTGTGTATTGCTGCACGTTTAATTGTGTCCTGTATTTCTTCAAAATTACAGCTCAAAGCAGCCGTACGTCCAACTCCAATCCTAAAATACCTAACTTCAAACTTGTTGTGTGACCCTGCCTGGTGCTACGTCAAGTACTATATAATTTTGATTACGGCTTAACATATTATTTTAACTCTGTCGAAATGCGAAAGTATATTGGGCGGTGCCGGTTTAATTTATTGCTTCCTGACCGCCTTTTGCTATAAATCTGAACGATGTTGTCTTACCTGGGGACCCCAGGCTTAATAATATTCATAAATATTCTATAATGTTCATTAAGTTTAAAACATATTGATACTGATAGAATTATAATGGCGCGGACTGACAGACTGAACGCTGTCCAGTAAATGCTGTTACATGTCTAACAAAAAAGACTGGTGTTCTCAAGATTTGAGATACTATTACTAACCGTAGTTGACTATAGCTAACTGACGATCCGCTAAAAAAATCGTACTGTACTAACTGTAGAGCTGCAATTACATGAGCTGCACTGCTATGGTTTATGTTTTAAACTAATTGCAACAATTATGCATATGGTAATTATGCATTATGCGATTATGCATTATGGTAATGGGATGGAAACGTTTTAACCAGGTGTCCGACGTTCATGTAACCTGTAGGTAGCTAGTCTGCAGTCCATAAAATAGCTGAATAGTATAAAGAAAATGTTTCACTTCTATATTAGAAGCTTTAATATAACTATTTAACGTCGAATTAATGGATATTAGCTGAGTCTATTCACAAATGAATATTCTAATATTATTCAGAGTCAGCATAGTGGGCCATACTATTGTTGTTAGTCTCTTAGTAGGCTGTTTTAGTCTAACAAGGAAAGATTATATTCCTGTGCTGTGCAGTTATAAATTGTCATTAATTATACTTTATGTACAATGTAGTCAGCCCACTGGCATTCTTTTATCGCTATATTCCATTCCTTCAATTATATAAATTTCACAGTCTGTCCATACAGATTACAGACCACTACGATAAGTGGATTTGCCACTGATATCCAGGCCACTAAATCTCTTGCCCAAATTGTTATAAAATCTTGTGAAAAGGCCCCGAGGGTACGGCGGTAGAGCCACCGATATTCGGTATTAACAATTGTCGCTACTGCACACTAACTTTAAGATGCCACAATAATTGTTCCAAAGGCAGAAGGTATGACTATGGTATGTACAGTTACATTTTCACACTCTAAAAATTCAGTAATACAGATCTCATCACCTACTGAAATTAGAAAATACATATCACATCCCCAAACTTTCAAGAAAACTCAGCGAGAGTGTGACATCCAATCTGGGAGCGAATTATCGTTTGCTTTACTTTGTACTTTAAGTTTAATAACATTTTGTCAAGTACTTTGTAGTTGTACGTTGTACGACGTACGTGTTCTGAGGAGTTTCTTAAAGTTAACTTTAATTGGATTGTTCTAGACTGTTTAAGCCTAGTTAGTAATTGGTCGTAATAGTTATAACCGAATAACGACAAGCATGACTGCCTGACCAAAGAATCGTTGAATAGAATTAAGGACAATTTAAAATATTATCGAAGGTTTGGAATAATTTTAGTCACAAATTGGCGTTGAGATGTATTACCTCACTCGTTAATATTATGGCGGTTGAAAATTGGCGGTTTTTGCAGGGCCATCCCGTCATATGTTCAACGTATTTTTGACCTGTCATAATTATAAACAAGTCGTGATATCAACGAGTAGCTTTGTAACAGTGGTCCTTGAAGTGTGGTCCATTTTAAGTCTCAGCTGTAGGAACCGTCCCACCACATAAACAAACAATGTGGTCCATTGTTCATTGATACACAACGGCGGAAATCTTTTAAACTTCCTGTCTAAATTTCTTTTGTTTGCATTGTTGAGTGTAATATTCTACAGAGTACACCGCTCGAACTGTTTCAAATTGTGATGTAAAAGTCGCAATAAGTGATGTATATTTTATAGCCACCACCTATGACCACCTTAGATGTTCATGTATCTTGCAAAATAAGATTTTATCACTAAAGTTGTTTGGTTTAGATCGAAGGTCAAAAAATATCCGTATAGTTGTGGGATAACAGCTTGTAGACCATAACCACGATCAAGCACAGTTTAAATCTCAGATACCTATTGCGAAGAAGAGTGTTGTTTCTCTGCTCAAAACATTAATAACAATTGAGTAAATTTTTAAATATAAGTTTTGCTAACGCACATTCCTTTTGATCTATAGCCGGTCTTTTATTAATTTATTTAATTATTAGATTGCTTATCATATTCACTTTATTGATAGGATAACATACTGACATGTTACTCCTCATGGTTAAATCAATTGTAGTTTAAAAATGTAAGCAACAACTTTGTTGTTGTCGTTTAACTAAGCTAGTATGTCTGTTAATTAGCTGGAATGTGTGATTATTTTAAAAATAAATGTCCAATAAGTCAAGCTGCTTCTCTCACCAAGTTTTGAACATGATTAAAAAGACAAATTGAAGTGAGATATGCTCAAATAAATATGGAACAATTTAAATGTTCCAGAGGATTATGATAATCATTGAATTAATGTCAATTGATCTAGATAGTTAAAACAGTTAAAATCATAGCCTGACCCCCTAACCCGCTCTTCCCTGATCAACCTAACCGGTCGCTCAAGTTGAGAGAAGCCTATTAGCACCACAGATACTACATATTACATATAGCCATAGTACTAGATACCAGGGACAAAAGGAAATCGCGGCATGTACGGAATCGCGATTTTTCCCATTATTTGCGACAAATTTTATGTATAGTTTAATGTATAGTCTGTTAAAATTCGCGGTATCGCGATTTTTGGCCAAAATAATCGCGAAATCCTTTTGTCCCTGCTAGATACTACTACTCTACTAGCCATATGCGATCTGTTCAATAAAGTTATGCATTATATTTTATTATACTGAGTCTCACAAATAACTATCGTAAAACGTTAAGGTGACAAAATGTATGGTATAATCTACAATAGTATAGAAAGGTAAGGGCGTATATACTTAAGATTTATAACTAAAGATTTGCCGAAGACTAGGTTATTTTGTTAAGAGGCTTAACTTAGTACTTAGATAAATCATTGATAATCCATATTGCAAACGTACTGGAGCTTCGTCCAATTTTAAGTTCTAGCTTTTGTCAAGTTCGATAGAGTTTTTTAAAGTTTTCTAAGTTTTCATTTTTAACTAGACTACGTAATTGAGAGGATGACATAGAATATCGAAGCAATGTCAGTTAGTTTCTGAAAACAAATGAGAGCTGTGTTTACCAAGACTTATCTACATTGCTTCGATATTCGTATACATAACCCACTCAATTACGTAGTAACTACAAGGGGGTCTTCACATATTACGTAATCAGCTGAGGGGGGGGGGGTTCGAATGATTGCGCTAGTGTCATTTTGACACAATAGCTATGTGTAAAACTGATTACGGAGGGGGGGGGGGGATAAAAATGTTCCAAAAAATGATTACGTAATACGTGGACGACCCCTAGTTAAAAATAAAATGTGATAACATGCCTCGCACCGAATATTTACGTCAAAGTAATTTCAGCCTGTCAGACAACCCACAAAGAAGCGATATCGATTAGTCACAGTTTTGCAACAGGCTACCATTTTGAAATCTTGCAATGATTATGCCAATTTAGGGGCTCACTCGGTGGTTCCTTTATGTAGTTGTGTTTAATTTGTGGTTGCGTGCTGTTCATTTCGTCGCATTAATCTGTCTTATCTCTAAAAGGTTCCGTGTACATTTACCCCTGTACTTAAAGGTGTGGTTATGACATTGTATTACGAGACATACTTCTTACATGGATTTTATAACTTTAAGAATAGGACTTGCTTTGCTGTCAGGATAATAGCTACGAGTGCAGATACACTGAAAGTTGCTGGTGCAGTTTACATATAGTCTTAAATAGCTAATAATCAATCTGTGGTGCAAAAAGATAAAACTAACACAGCAGTTTATAGACACATTGGCCTTGTTATTGCAATCAGCACAGACCCGTACAATCACTCAAGCACAACTCATTTACTTATCACAACAGCTCGAGCCATGATACACATCAAAGACAAGGGTCACTTCCGGAAGATCCTACAATCGTTAGGGAATAACAAAGTCTTGATAGTAAAGTACTCTACAGACTGGTGTGGACCATGTCGGATCATCGCTAAATCTTATACCAAACTTGAGAAGGAGCAACAGAAAAAGTTTGTCAACGTGATTTTCGCAGAGGTTTGTGTTTTACATTGGAGTCTTTAAGTTTTGATGTGATATCTGTTATAGAAATAACGCGAATTTTTTTAAAACGTTCAGTTTGTCTAATATGAAAGTTATCATGATTTACAGAAAATAATAATGTCGCCTGCTGCCCTGCTAGGTTACCTGCCATAGTAACCATAGTAACGACCTTCTTTACAGTGTGATGTAGACATTGCTCCTGGCGTGGCAGAAGACGAAGGAATCACGTGTTTGCCAACGATTGCGGGTAATACTACTTTTACAGTGTGCTATTATGGTAATAACATCTTCATGTTAAATTATCTGTATTGATATTCATACACTACATATTTCCATTTTTATATTTTGTGTATCATGAAGCAAAATAATTCCAGGGTACATGAAAGGAGAAAAGATCGAGAGTTTTATGGGATCGAACAAAGAAAAGCTAACGGAATTTTGTGTTAAAATGGCCAAATTAGCCACAGTGCCCTCAGGCAAGGTATCTCGAGCTGAACAGCAAGAAAGTGGGCCCGCCGCTGGTGTTACTTCAGATCCAGAGTTCACAGATATCGGAAGACAACCGTAGGATTGCGAACAGAACCTAGTAAAACATGGTTTTTTACTCAACTGGTTTGGTCGACTTTTGAATCAGAGGCTCTGTGAAGGACAGAGTTGTGTTCAGAGGAACATCAATTTATTTGTCATGTATTTCCTATGTGCTGGCTCCGTGTTAGTTACTCGTGTGCACCGGTCGAATGATCGGTAGAACAGTCAGTCGAATAAATGAACTTGAATAGTACTGCACACTTAGCACTAATAATTTACTTTATCCTATTGAATTCGAATGATCAAGTTTCAGAAATTACTTACAATGGTTATTTCGACCGATGCAATGTGGACACACTAGTTCTTCGTATGTTCTACAGGTGAATGAGAGACGATAGTGTTTCGAATAGTGAAAATTGCTCTCATATTTAAGGTATAATGGTATGTTGTGTCTTGTGACGAGATGATGATTTTATTACATATTTTTATTTTAAATTTTTGCTGACGGCAATTCAACTGCAATGTATGACTGGGCCAACGATCTGTAGCATACTTGCAACAAAAAGTTTGGACAAATTAAATTTATCCATCTAACGACCAAGGAACCCACCCTTCCTTAACTTAGTGACATTATAAACACGACATGTTAGACATTATGCAATCTTTGTGTACATGATAATTACATATTATTATAAATATAATATTGTCAGGTTGCGTTGATCGCTTAGCAACGCAGGGATTGCAAAGCAATTCACCAGCGCTTTATCCTCACAGTCCTCTATCAAAAACAACTTCTATCTAAAATGTATTAATCTTATAAATCATTTTAAACATTAGACAATTTCAAATAGTACACCTTGTACTTTACATTGCACACGAAAATACACTAAAGTGTGTAAAACATCGAGATTCTTCTGTTTACGGTAAAATTCTACAAACGCGCACATGAGAAAAGTCGTGCGCGCGCGCAGACATTTTATCAAAAACATGACGATTTGCTAGTCGTAAAGTTAATGTATTAAATTGTCCCAAAGGGCGCGAAAGTGAGCACTTCTGGATTTTGAACGACATTACATGATCATGTTGCGTATGCTGCTAGTCGAGTGATGTATCCCTGTCAAAATGAGTTGGCAACATCGATGAGGCTCATACCATTCTATGTACACTGGACTTGAAGTTAAACAGTCTGAAATTTTCACCAAGCGCTGAAATCTCGGAAACCAGTCACTGATGATTTCAGAACTTTTGTCCTTTTTGCCCCTTGTGGTTCCAAATTGTCCAGATGTTTTAGTTTCTTTTTACCGATGTACTTTCCGACTCCATCTGACACAACTTTTGTTTGAGTTTCTAAGGTGATACCTTCCAGTTCCTAAAAATAAAAACAAGTTAGTATCAGGAATATTAGATCCTCGAGTCACTGTTATTTTAAGATGACGTAGGTTAAACGGAACAATGTACGGCACGTAAATAGTTAACTAAAAGAGAAATAATAATTTTAAATGTTAAGACAAAATCTTAATCCAGCTCTGAAACACGTGACTAACCTTCGATTTCTCAGCCTCTTTAGCCGCTTTTTTCTTATCCTTTTCAGCATTGATAAGTTCTTCTTTGGTATCTTCAATAGAATCAACAAACAAATGAGCAGATATAAGTTTTATCTCGGTAGTTGGTTTATCTTTGTTATCTGTTGCTATTGCTTCCATTTCATCCAGTACCTGCAACAAAACGTTAAACTAAAACGTTCGACAATATAAGAAATTACTTTCTTGAAGAAAATCATCCTCTATCCAAAACACGTGAACTCCGCATATGATCGTGTAAAAAAACATCATTCCACAATCTACATTGCCTCAACATTATCACGTATCATTAGTAAACAATCAATTAAAAAACAATCGACCAACTCCGTACCTTCAGCCCTCCAACAAGCCGCCCAAACACTGTATGTTTATTGTCCAGATGATTACAGCTCCGGTATGTAAAGAAGAATTGAGATGTGTTGGTATTGGGTCCTCTGTTGGCCATACTGAGAACACCTCGACCACTGTGGGTGAGGTTAGGTTTAAAGTGGTCGGGGAATGTAGAACCGAACGCTGACTCACCTCCTTTGCCCGTTCCTGAGATAATTAATTGGATTTAATTATCTAATTATCTAATTATCAGTTAGAGGATGAAACCTAGTTAATTTGTACTGTGAGAAACTAACTAAAACGGGAGATATGGAAAAAGTACATACTAGAACATTGTAAACTCATAGGAATGTTTCTCTAATCCGAGAAAATATCCAACAAAAGGAAAATAATCAACACAAAGAAATATTCTCTGAGCACATTAAAAGAACTCCTACCAGTTGGGTCCCCTCCTTGACCATGAAGTTCCGGATACTGCGATGAAACACAGTATTATTGTAATACCCTTTCTTACAGAGCAACATAAAGTTGTGGCAGGGTTTGGGTACCATGTCCGTGTGGAGCTCCAGGTTCAGGTCTCCGAGCGAGGTGACTAAACGGACGTAGGACTTCTTTTTAACTTTCTCGTAGATAACCTAGGTAGTAGGTGTTTTATTATATTATATTAATTATTATTAATCAACTATATATTATATAAGTTAGGAAATTCAATTAGTGTGTGTCACAGTTTTTTATGGAAACATTTACCGAAATGTTCATTTCGTTGGATGATATTTAACCGAGGATAATATGTATGTCAACAAAAACCACTATGATATCAGAAATATATATCTGATTCTGGGCCCATACTTCGTCCCATTTTACACAACTTAATTTTGTTGGCCAAACTTCCTACCTCGTCTAGATTTCTCTCCTGCATCTCGCTTTTGGTAGCCCGTGGAGCTGCTGTGGACGTGAAACCTCGTGAAACATCACCTGAGGAGTATGATTGAGTTATTTAACCTAATTTAATTAGTAATTAATTAAATTTAATTTTAATATAATTTCATCTAATCGAGGAAAGCTCATTTAATAACTTCATCCAAACTAAACTGGAAATCTAAATAAGAATCAGAGCGAAACACAAGGAACATTTCAAAACAGCACTTCTGACTTCTAATAACCTGAGCTGTGGTAGTGTTGTGGTAATATAATATTATTGTGGTAATATTGTGGTAATAACCTGTGGTAGTGTTGTGGTAATATAATATTATTGTGGTAATAACCTGTGGTAGTGTTGTGGAAGTATTTAGGAAGCTCCTCCCCCTCCTCTTTACCAGTATCAGTTGCTTTTAGACTACTTGGAGCTACGTAACTCGTAGCCAGCTCTGCGAGGGTAGCTTTCGCTTCTGCACTGTATACAAACATACATGTTAATGTAGAAGAGGCTATGTTAATGTAAAAGAGGCTATGTTAATGTAGAAGAGGCTACTCAGGCTATGTTAGTATACAGAATGGCCGCGGTGAATTGGGGCGCGGAAAATCGGGGTTTGACTGTAATTCAAGTTGATATTTTTTCCACTTTTTTTCCAATAGTTATTTGATTAATGTCCATTGATTAATAATTAATTACATAATCATTTGGTTAATTAACCTGGTAGAATTAAGAGTGTAGGTGGCTGACTTCTTAGCCTCTTCCTCCTCCTCATCCACCATCTTTATCTTCTCCTTTATGTGATAGAAAGAGGACATGTCTTGCTTTTCCAGCTTCTGTGGGTCCTGGAACAAATATTATTATATTAAATAAATAAAAACAACAAATAAAAAGTGTTAATAAGGGGCAATTTTTTGTGTTAAATTCGACTATTCGACTATTTAAGAACAGGTCATTGACAACTCCAACAAATTAGGTTACACACAAAGTTCAATACAAATATTCTAACCACTTAGTCTATAGGGACTAATTACAACACTACAAAATATATATTACATTTATTGAGGTTAAACTCCCTTGTGGGTAGAAACAAACGGATCGCTGAGATGCGTCGTTTTCACGTATTCCCTGTATTCATGATCGCCACCAAAGATCTTGGGGCGACTGCGGCTTAATACCATCATTACTGACTTGTCGATTTCATACTCTTACGAGATCGAATATCGATAAAAAAGTTGATTTTGTGGTCCTAACCAGATAATCAGGTAATAGGACCAGGTAATCAGGTGACCAGGTTTCCACGTGACCAGGTCTGATTATATTATAAATGATCGAAGTGCCACCTGCATCTCTCCCTATAATCTCACTATAAAGCTATAATCCACCGTTACTGAGCTGTCCGGTTATTGGTTGAGCTGTTTGTGTTACACGTGCTACGTCACTGCTAACTAGTACTTAACTTTATCTTACTCAATAATGTAGTAATCTGTCTATTTATTTGTAGTAGTGGGAGTGTTTAATTTTAATTTTGTATCCTGGCATTATTTTTAACTTTGACGTTGTTTTTTCACGTGTTCTAATATAATACTGCATGCAGTATAATAGAGTGCGATTATAATAACTTACAATTGATCAAAATAAATTAAATGAACTGACCAACTGAAAGTTTCATGTATGAAGCAATCCTAGAGGATATAATAAACACATGAAACTTTTGGTCAATTCATTTACTTTGTTGGGAAGCACTTGTTCTTATTAACATTAGTTGAGGAGTGAGCACTTAGCAATGTAGGAAACACAAAAATTAGTAACTTATAATTGCTAGCACGTGGTAAACCTCTACTTGTATAGATCTAGATAACAGTTAACACCTGTACTCTGTGAAGTATAGTTGAAGTAATATCTAGGGGAGGGGGGGGTGACATGTTCGCTAATGTCCTCTGATGTACTTTAGGACTCTATGAGATAATGGGACATTAGCAGACGTGCCCCCCCCCCCCCACCCCCCGTCTAGCATAATATCCTCTCATACTCTCATACTCTGATACTCATATCACAACACTGCTTTGTTTACTCAACATAAAAACAATAGTACGCAGCGCACTGAACACGCACCTTCTCTCTGTTTGTGTTATAAGTTTGTAGTGCTCCTTCTCTCTGTTTGTGTTATAAGTTTGTAGTGCACCTTCTCTCTGTTTGTGTTATAAGTTTGTAGTGCACCTTCTCTCTGTTTGTGTTATAGTGCTGTAATGCACCTTCTCTCTGTTTGTGTTATAGTGCTGTAATGCACCTTCTCTCTGTTTGTGTTATAAGTTTGTAGTGCACCTTCTCTCTGTTTGTGTTATAAGTTTGTAGTGCACCTTCTCTCTGTTTGTGTTATAAGTTTGTAGTGCTCCTTCTCTCTGTTTGTGTTATAAGTTTGTAGTGCTCCTTCTCTCTGTTTGTGTTATAAGTTTGTAGTGCACCTTCTCTCTGTTTGTGTTATAAGTTTGTAGTGCACCTTCTCTCTGTTTGTGTTATAGTGCTGTAGTGCAACTTCTCTCTGTTTGTGTTATAAGTTTGTAGTGCACCTTCTCTCTGTTTGTGTTATAAGTTTGTAGTGCTCCTTCTCTCTGTTTGTGTTATAAGTTTGTAGTGCTCCTTCTCTCTGTTTGTGTTATAAGTTTGTAGTGCTCCTTCTCTCTGTTTGTGTTATAAGTTTGTAGTGCTCCTTCTCTCTGTTTGTGTTATAAGTTTGTAGTGCTCCTTCTCTCTGTTTGTGTTATAAGTTTGTAGTGCTCCTCGCAGATCAATACTTCCCCCTGAAATTTGCTTTAAATGCCCTACAAAATTAAAAATTTTCTCTCTGGCTCCAAAATCCAAAATTTATTAACAGATTATCTGCCCATCTGCCGTATTTCTGGATGCGAGAGGTACTGATTTTAATAGAGATCATAAGCAATGCACACTTAACAACTGATAGCTACTTTTAGAGGCTCCTTACTAACACCACACTTAACAACTGATAGCTACTTTTTAGAGGCTCCTTACTAACACCACACTTAACAACTGATAGCTACTTTTTAGAGGCTCCTTACTAACACCACACTTAACAACTGATAGCTACTTTTTAGAGGCTCCTTACTAACTTGGTTTCGAGATAGCAGTTGACCAACAAACTAGGACCGGTGACCGAACTTTTGAGGGGGTCCTGGTGCCCGCGGGGCAGCCACGCCCATATTTGGTTCAAATTAGGCCCAATTTAGCCAATTAGCTAAAAAAATTTGGCGGCCAAATTCTGAAAAATGCCAGGCAAATTTTGGAATTTGGCCGCCAAATTTTTTTAAAGGCCTAACTCAAAATTCCAATACAAAACTTAAGGTCGAAATGCGATTCTACGTTGATTATGAAAATTTTATGTAAAAATATTGAAATCCTATTGAGTTCTATTGTTTTGAGCGAAATCAGTTTCGCAAATATCGCGAACTGAGATATGGAGGGCTACTTTTTAGAGGCTCCTTACTAACACCACACTTAAGGGGGCATACACCAAATCTGTCCAGACCAAATGACCTCATAGGCAGTTCAGTGACCTTCTAGCGCACCGTTTCCACACCAATTAAAATTATTTTGAGAATACCCATTTTTGTAATCGACCATTTCCTGGTTAAGAGTGCAATTTTTGGAAAAAATTATTTTGTGGTTGAGACGCTATAAGTTAATCATTTCTTGCGGTATCGGGTTGAAATTTTGCTCGCCGTTTATTCACATCTATTTCAAGGTGTGTGTAAAATCTTGATATCGTATTTAAAAAGGCTGGTGTGTTATGAATTTTTAAAGTCAAAAAGCTAAAATTGTCCTTTTCAGGCTTATTTTAACAAAAAGTCAGTCAGGGACGATTGGATTACTTGATGCTTGACATCAAATTGTTCTCTCAATTCTGGCGCAGTTTTTGATGCCCTCAAAAATGTTTTTACTCATTCACCTTCTGATCTATTGGACCTCAAAGCCAAACAACAAATTTAGGCACATTTTTTGTTTTTAATATTTACTGATTTTACCAAAATTTTGATAGGAATGTGCTAGTGACTTTTTGAAGGGTGCAAAATAACCGCAACTAGCACATTTATATATGAGTTATGAACAACAAAACACCCTAAAATGCTTCCCTTTGAAGTTTTATGGTTGGTGGGCTAGACAGTGAAACACGCAAATGTAGTGTATACTTCGTTAAATTACATCATTAGCTACAAAGGGATTAAGTTGGTTAGATTTTAGTACTATATATACGAAGATCTAAAATGCCTCAAACAATCGAGAATCAAATAACCTAAATAAACTAAATAAAATACACAAGGTAAATGGAGATGAACTGCACAAAAATATAGCTTCAAAAATGAATCTTCAAAAAAGAAGAAATAAAAACTAAGAACCTTATCTTTCAACTTTGCATCTATTTAAACCCAAGCAATTAGTTCTATACTTCTCAATATACCTAAATTCCTCCCTATTTAATCCCCTGGGGTTACATTCTTTCAAAATGGCAAATTTATAGTTGTCAATAGTAAAAATGTCTCTGTGATGTTCATAGGCATGAATCGAAAGGGCTGATTTATTACGATCCTCTACTTTAAAACAGGCTCTGTGTCCATTGACACGTTTATGAAAGTTTTGCATTGTTTGCCCGAAATAAGTGTCTTCTACAACTATCTCATAACCTTCTTCCTTTATAAGATTACAAAGCTTACATTGGGCCACATAAATAACATTTTTAGATTTACAATTATATCTGATAGGAACTACTATCTTCTGTCCATTAACTACAAATTCTTCCCCTGCCCTACACATATGCCTGCATGTTCGGCATCTTGGTGCATTGCATTTCTGAGTCCACTCTGAATTATTTTCTGCCGGTGTTCTGCAGATAGCACTGTTTCTCAGTACTCTGTTACCAATCGAGCAGCCTTTCTTCGATGCCACCGTGATTTGTGTTGGGCCTAATAGTGCTTCAATGTCCGGTTCCAACTCCTTTAAGACTGATTTAAGCTGGGGCATCTCCGAGAGGTGTTGGACTGAAAACACCATGGAAGTTTTTTGGGGAACATGAACACTTCCTTCTGAGTTGGGTGGAGGATTGAACAGCTTCTCCAACACTTTTGGCTCTAAGGCGTTCAGTTTCGCTGAGTCGTGTCCACTACGACGCAAATCCGATTTCAATTGCTGTAGGTCCGCCTGCCGTGTATCCTCTCTTGAGTTCCTGTTAGCAATCCGAAGCATTTGGGAGAAGGCTCCCTTTGAAGTTATGGAAGAAAATGTGATTTTTTGGCTTTGCAGATAAAAAATCACATTTTCTCCCATAACTTCAAAGGGAAGCATTTTAGGGTGTTTTGTTGTTCATAACTCATATATAAATGTGCTAGTTGCCGTTATTTTGCACCCTTCAAAAAGTCACTAGCACATTCCTATCAAAATTTTGGAAAAATCAGTAAATATTAAAAACGAAAAATGTGCCTAAATTTGTTGTTTGGCTTTGAGGTCCAATAGATCAGAAGGTGAATGAGTAAAAACATTTTTGAGGGCATCAAAAACTGCGCCAGAATTCAGAGAACAATTTGATGTCAAGCATCAAATAATCAGATCTTCCCTGACTGAATTTTTGTTAAAATAAGCCTGAAAAGGACAATTTTAGCTTTTTGACTTTAAAAATTCATAACACACCAGCCTTTTTAAATACGATATCAAGATTTTACACACACCTTGAAATAGATGTGAATAAACGGCGAGCAAAATTTCAACCCGATACCGCAAGAAATGATTAACTTATAGCGTCTCAACCACAAAATAATTTTTTCCGAAAATTGCACTC